AGGGCTCCTCAAGTGTGGGCACCCGTTCATGGGGGGGCACCAGGCAAGAACGTGGAGATAGCTGAGGACAAACCCATTTTCCCTCTTGGCAAAGCACTCCAGCTGCAGGCCTTTCTGAGGACAGATAGAGAGGGGTCACCTCAGACACAGAGCAGTGTTTCTCATTTGCATGGGTCCGAGGCAGGGCTTTTTGACCAAATTCCAGTCAAGAAATGAGAATCTCCTTCTTTCCTCAGTGTCCCCCACATCTCCCCCCCTTCCACTCAGAGTTTTCTACAGGATGTGTTATTTTCCACTGCTACCCAGAAAACAGTCGTGGTGCCCGTCCCTGGTTAAGTGCTACCCGTTCGAACCTCAAGATCCCTTGATGCGCCCATAAAATATCTAACACTCAGGACCCCTCTGGGACTCCAGGTCTGGTACACAGGCCGAGCACACATCATCCCAGGGGAGAGGCTGAGCCTAAAAAAGTTATCATTAAGGACACAGAAGCCACTGGAGCAGAGGAAAAAAAATCATTGCAGACACTGAGTCTGTGGTTCAGAACCAAATTCATACTCCCGAGGGAATTCTCTGGGCATTGACTGGAGAGAATAATGGAAGAGAAATGCTTGGCATTTTGTGCCTTAGCCTGTCCTCTGTGCTGCCCAGGAGGAGGGATGTGAGGGGGGTACGCCCTGCCGGGGGCTGCGTGCTGCGAGCCCTCTGCCTGACTCAGAGGCGCAGAGAGTCTGCGAGGGCTGGAGGCCCACGGCGGAGGGGAAACGGTGGCTGTGAAGATGAGGGCTTCTTCGGGGAGCAGCAAGTACAGACGCCACAGGACGGCGGGGCTTAGAGCCAGCCGAGACAGGAATGGGAGTGTGAACTTGTCCTGGGCAGAGGCCAGGTTGCCGAGCATCCAGTCTGAGCTTAGTGGGGATTCGAAACCAGAGACGGTCAAATGGCTGTCGGATGTTCTCCAGGAACCAGTCTCCATGCAGTGCTAGTATATGCAGATATGTGTGACTTCATTTCATCCTCCCAACAACCCTGGGAGAAAGACACCATGTCCTTTGGACCAGGAAATGGGAGCATGGGACGTTGAAGAAATTTGCCTCAAACGCACATATCCCAAGTTGGTGTCAAACCCGAGTGGGCAACTTCAGAAGCCATGCTCTGAATGAGCACTTCTCACCCACTAATGGGCATCTAAATCCCCCGGGGGTCTTCTAGAATGCAGGCTCTGATTGGGAAGATCTGGGGGGGAGAGGGTAAACCCCCTCCCCGTGATGCCTTGCTGCTGGTGCCCACACCCCCCTGTGAGAGGCACATTCCCTGCTCTGTGCCACACCCATTACAGGAAGTCCTAACCCAGCCATTAGTTCACAGACCTCCTCCTCCTCCTCTTCCTCTTCCTCCTCCTTATCATCACCATCATCAGCCACATATGGAGCTTGCTATGTGAGAAGCACTACTTTACTCTTGTTAAACACATGATCTCATTAAAGCCTCATCAGCCTCATGATGACACTATGAGCTCAGTGGTATTATTCCCATTTTACAGAAGACAAAACAGAGGCTTAGAAAGGTTAAGTTGGGGGCGCCTGGGTGGCTCAGTTGGTTGAGCGACTGCCTTCGGCTCGGGTCATGATCCTGGAGTCCCGGGATCGAGTCCCGCATCGGGCTCCCTGCTCAGCGGGGAGTCTGCTTCTCCCTCTGACCCTCCCCCCTCTCATGTGCTCTCTCTCTCATTCTCTCTCTCTCAAATAAATAAATAAAATCTTTAAAAAAAAAAAAAAGAAAGGTTAAGTTGGTTATCCCAAATCACACAGGAAGTGGCTGTGCCTGGATGCAGGGTCAAAGTCCTGGCTCTTAACAAGTTCCACAGAACAAAGCATTCAAATAAAACAGGCAAGACACAAAGGGACCCTATGCTAGGAGTCTCAGTTACTATTATTTTTCTTTCTCTTTTTAAAAACACTGAGATAAAAATAGACATAAAACATTAGTCTCAGGTGTACAACATAACAATTCAATATTAGTATATGAAATGGTCACCAAAATAAGTCTAGTTAACATCCATCACCACATAGAGTTCTAATATTTTCTTTTGATGGGAATTTTTAAGATTTACTTTCTTAGCAGTTTTCATATACACAGTCGAGTATTAACTGGTCTCCACGCTGTACACTACATCCCCATGACTTATTTAATAACTGGAAGTTTGTGCCTCTGACCGCCTTCACCCACTTTGCCCACCTCCCCCCCATCCCCTACCCCTGACAACCCCCAATCTGTTCTCTGTATCTGTGGGTTCCCCAGTTGTTCTTGACTGGGAGATAGGAAAGGTTCAGATGGGGAGACTGGGAGGTTTCTACATTCTCTTTCTGGCCAGGGACGAAGTGCTACAGGTGAGCCTGAAATGCCCTTCCCACCCGGTGGCCAGGGCCTTGCTTTATACATGCAAACAAATGACTTCTTTGGAGCCAGAAAAAAAAAAAACACATAACACAACACAGGCCTCGGAGGCTGAAAAACTCTCCTCTTTAGGGTGCAAGTTGGGGAGTGAGGGAAAGAACACAAGTTATCTAGAGCTGGGATCAAACGTCTCCCTCCTTTTGCCTTCCCTCCTGCATGGTCGGTTCTTCTCTTCCCCCAGACACCACAGCAAGAGAGCCAAGAACCCTTGTAATTCACATCTCAGCAAGTACAAACACACTTGATTTCCTTACTTGCCTATAATTCCTTCTTAAATCACATAAAGCTATTTGCCTTTATAAATCTCCCCAGCAGTGAGCTCCCCAGGATAATTATGTGTAATATATATTTATAGTTTTATTTCACAAGCCTGACTCTGACCAAAAAATTGACCTAGTTAAGCCCACTCCTCAATAATAATTTTTCCATTCCGTGTAAGTCTACAGCATTTATGTCTTGACTGTCCTTTGCATTTCAGTTCTTTAGTACCAGCAGCCATGCAATGGGAGGCTTTTGGCAAGTCTCCAAAGAGCTGCCTTTGAGTCACAGCTGTGCCCCTTGCTGGCTTTGTGAGCTTGGGCAAGTTTCCAAACTCTCTGAGCCTCGATTTCCTCATCCATAAAATGGGAATGGTAACATCTGTCATGAGGTTATTGTGAAGATTACGTGAGGGTGCCTGGAATAAGGCAGATGATGAATGAAAGTAGAATCTTCTTTGCCAGCCGTGGGAAATAATAACGAGGATGTGTCTGGATTCTTCTCTATACCACTCATGATTTTATGGCATATCCTCCCTCTGAACAACTAGCCATCATTTTTGTAAATTGCTAATTGCCAAATCAGCCTACGGCTCTAGGTGGGGATGGGTTGCACTTAGACTCAGTTCCCTCCTGCATCATTTCAATTTTTTGTTGTTGTTGTTTAGCTTAATCTTTGTGAATGTCTCCATCTCTCTGTAGAGGGCTTTACGCCAGCTGGTGTGTTCCTGCTATGTTTAATTCACCCCCATTAACCTGCTTGGTCAGCATATCTTTCCATCTCCTTGCTGGGCTTCTAGGAGTGCATCTGTCTGGAAAAAGCATTTATTATATTTACTTTAACTGGCCTCATTTTGCAAGGCGATCTGGGAGGAAAGCAACTTTGATGATACTGCCCTTGTTTACTGTGTGCACTCTGTGCTATGTGTCTCTCGTCCACTAAGATGGTAAATGCTTTTGCAGGAAGCCAAGACACAAGTTAAACAGTGTCTCTGTGAGCACACTCGCGGCCCCTGGGCAGCTGCTTTGCACTGTCTCCTTCACCTGGAAACCATGACCCACATTTCAGTGAAGTCCAGCAGGCAGGTTTTCCTGGATGGGCGTGTGTTCTAAGGGCCGGGGAGGAGCATTGGCTGGGGCCCACATCCGCATGGTGACAGAGAGTGCTCCCCAGCCATGTGGCATGGTGACCTAAGGTCTTGACTTCGTCTGTGCATCACCACTCACTCTTTGATTCCAGCAGAGCCACCTGACCTATCTCTGCCCGTGACCTTGCCCCGCTCCCCCCGCTCTCCACGCAGCAGCTGCATACATGGATCATTATATCACCTTCCTTAAAATCCCTCAATGACTCCCCATTGCCCTCCAGAATAAACTCAAACTCTTTATGGGGTGTATAGGCATGAGCAAGTTCTCACCCTATCTTGTAGTCTATGCCCCCATAGTGAATGTTTGCACTTTCTTTCATCCATCCCTCCAACCATCCATCCATCCATCCATCACTTATCTAGGACTTAGTGTTAAACACTTCTCTGGACACTGGGGAGACAATAATGAGCAAAACTAAATATGGTCCCATTCACAGAGCTTTAGATCTAGGGTGGACACTGACAATGGAATAATCATACCCACAAGCGTACAGTGATAACTTGAGTGGCGCTGTGAGGACAGTGGTCACCAGAGAGATGAGGCAGCAGGACGGGATGACCTGACCTCACCTGGGGACTGCACAGGCTCCCCAGGAAGTGACAAGTGAACCAGGGAAGCAGGCATAACTCAGTGAAGGGGGTGGTTGGATAGCCCGACAGGCAGCGGGAACGGCGTGCACCAAGCCCCATGACAGCAGGGAAAAGGTGTTTGAGGAACTGTCCGATGCAGACCTGTGGTCCCGGAGCAGGGGGAGCACCAGGGGATGCGGGAGGGAGGGGAGACCAGGGGATGCAGCCGCACTAGGGTTGGGGGTTATCTCAGGAGCAATGGGAAATCCCTGCAATGTGTGCAGAATGGGACAGCATCATTGAAGAGATCACTGTGGGTGTGAAGAGGACATTGTGGGGGTTAGGAGAGAATGTTGGGAGGCTTTTTGCAGTGGTGAAGATGAGACTTAGTAGTAGTTTAGGCCAGGTGACAGCAGACAATGGAGAGCAGTAGACATGTGACAGGTACTTGAGAGATTGAATGAGTGGGATCTGGCGATGGCTGGATGGGGGTTGGGTGGACTGGGGAGAGAGCTGTGAGAATGTGGACTCGGGAGCCGACATGCCCCTGGAGCCAGGGTGTACTCACCTGTGAGGGTGGCTCTGGTGGTTGGACCGATGCTCTTGGGGACCAGCAGCTCGTGGTACTGCTCACCCGCCAGGGTGCTATACACAACCTTGTACTCGTGGACCTCTGCTTCGCTGTTGTCCCACTCAAGGTCAAGGCTGGTTGCTGTGTGCGAGCCCACCCGCAGGTTCTTGGGGGCGTCAATCTCTAAAAAGAGTTAGTCATCACCAAAATCACATGGGATAATGTGCATTTGTCGTGTGCCTTGAAGTTTAACAAGCTTTGGGTTGAGAGCCCACATCTCCTGACCCTCTGCCTCCTGTTTTGACTGAACCCCAGGGCTGCCCTTGAGCTTTTGCTCTGCCAGATCCATTGGTGGTTTGGAGACTTTTTCGTGGGAGTTAGTTATCAACACGCTTTACACTTGCTCCATTTCCATTCAGGGAATGTTCTAGAATATTTCCTGAATGGATGTGGGGTTATCCCAGAAATTTAAAAATGAGCCAGTTATCGTAAGCTTGAAACTAAGTAAGGGAAACCCCAGGAAGAAAAAAAATCAGAGATAGCTTCTAAGTGATTATGGTGGAATACGGTAATATCAAATTTGGCCACCAGGCTAAAAGAAGACAGTTGATTGCAAGATTCTGAAGTATCAGCTGTCTTCCCCTGGATTTACCTGCATAGACACTGTGGCAAGGTTTGTAGGAAATTAAGTAAACACATAGGGGATGTGATGTAGTGGGAAGAATATGGGCTTTGGAATCGGGTCTCAGGCTGAGCCCTAGCTCTGTCTCTTATTGTAATGGGACCATGATCAAGTTTTTGGTCAAGTGAGGTGTCACTGGGCCTTGATGGCCGCATCTGTAAAATGGCTTAGTAATAGTGACATTTCAGGTTATTGTACAGATAGGACAATGCATGTGAAGTGTGTGGCGTGATGCCTGGTGCATAAACAGAGGCCCAGCCTTGGGAGGACTCCCTGTTGCTTCTGAAGCTCATCCTGAGTTCCAACAACATGGCACCCCCTAATGCTTGCTCTCTGAAGCTCCAGAGATTCCTGTGCAAAGGAGAGACCACCAGCACGAGGTCTCTCCCATGATCCAGAGGGGCTGATTCTCTCTCCCTGGACTGGTCATATCCTCAGGCTTCTTTTGGCAGAAACAACACAAATAACTCGCAGGGGAAGAAGATGCAGCCATGAAAAACTGCTACTTAAAGAGTTTTTAATAAGTTTTGTCTTTGGGACTTGAATTTAACTTTGACGGGGACCAGCCATTTGTTCTGAGAAAACCTCCAGGAGACTTCTAATTTGCAAATGCCAGGCAAGTATACACCAATTGTTCTTGGGGAAGATGGGAACACTGTGAATCAATCTGAGTGCAACTGCTTCAGAGTGAGAAGTGTTCTGTTTAGTGATGCAAATTAGGTGAATCTTTTAGCAGATTTATGTCTCTGCAGCTTATTTTTCTGACAAATGTTTCTTTACTCAGTGTGGATTTAGCGTGCCGATTCTGTGCTTTCTGGACATGCTGTGTGGATGGAGAGAGGAGTCAAATGGAGAGAGGAGCTTGGATACAGGGGCAGGTGGGAAGAATGGGCTTGAGCTGGACCCTATGCCGCTCAATCTCATGCAGGAGCAGAGGCTGGGATAAGGTACCTGACCCGGTGTGGGGTGTGTGGCCTGAATGGAATTAGAGTAAAAAAGAAGTTAGGGTTAGCGTTTAGGTTGACTCTTGTACCCACCTACTGCTCTTCACAGCTAAAAATTCCAGACTTTGGAAACTATGGTTTTTGTTTTCTAGAGTTTTTTGGCCTTAGGACCTGTGCACTGTGGATAGGGGCCAGTGTTGTCTCTGAAGGGACCAGACACTTTCCAGGTCCATGATGCCAAAAGAGGTCAATGCTGGGAATGAGGGCTTGGAAATGTTAGAGTAAGCAGTTAGTTAGGTTCTTACAGGATCCCTGGAGGCCAGCAAAGGGGAAGTCATGACCAATTACAAGAAAGTGAGAAGTCTGACCTGACCTGGCAGCACCGGAGAACAAAACCACAAGAAACTGGATCAAACCAGACAGGCCCAAGATGGCTGACAAAGTAGGCCAAAGTTCACATTATTCCTTTATTAGACTACATTACTAAATCTCCTCCCTAAGGGTGCTGTGACAGGAAACCACCCTGCTTCCAAGAAATCCCTGCCCCCAGTAATGAATATTCCACTTCCTTGTTAACAACTGTCAATAAAACATGGAGACCCAAACCCCAGTGGACACGGCTCTCCCTCAAGCTTGCCTGCTCTCAAGTCTCCAGAGTGTACTTTTGCTTTAATCAACTTTCCTGCTTGTACTGCTCATTGCTGTGTTGTGTCTGTCCTTGAATTCTTTCTCATGGTTACACCAAGAGCCTCCAGTGACATCTTTCGGACAGGCTGGGTCACAGCCTCAGGGCCTGAGGTCTCCCCAGTCCACCTGGCAACAGGGAGAGGTCTTAGGAATGGGGTGGAGTGAAATGGTTTGCTCCCCTGGGTCTCTCTCTCTCTCTTTTTTAAAGATTTATTTATTTTAGAAAGAGAGCAGGAGCAGTGGGGGGTGGGGGGGGCAGAGGCAGAGGGAGAAAGATTCCTCAAGCAGACTCCCCACTGAGCATGGAGCCTGACGTGGGGCTTGATCCCAGGACCCTGAGATCATGACCGGGCCGAAATCAAGAGTCTAATGTTTCACTGACTAAGCCACTCAGGCCCCTCCCCTGGGTCTTGAAGCCTGACCTCTAGGAGGGATGACTCAAGGTCACCCCTCCCTGTAGATAGGAGCTGGTCTGGTCTCTGTAACTCGTCAGCAAGCCAGGGGAAGACAAAGACCGATGTCCAGGGGGGCCCTGTGGAGGCGCTTGGGGCTGTGGATTCTGGTAATAGCCACATCTAGTCTCCAAAACATAAATTAGACCAAGCATTTCTCCTGCTTAAAATTTGCCTGTTGCTTTCTTTTTTTTTTTTTTAAAGATTTTATTTATTTATTTGAGAGAGAGAGAATGAGAGACAGAGAGCACGAGAGGGAAGAGGGTCAGAAGGAGAAGCAGACCCCCCGCCGAGCAGGGAGCCCGATGCAGGACTCGATCCCGGGACTCCAGGATCATGACCTGAGCCGAAGGCAGTCGCTTAACCAACTGAGCCACCCAGGCGCCCCATGCCTGTTGCTTTCTATTATAAACTCCCGATCGTCCCCTGCACGGCTCTCTGCTTCTCAGACATTGTCTCACAAGACTTCTACCCTAATTCACTGTGCTCCAGTTGTACTGCCTTTTTTCTACTCCTGAAACACATCAAACTTACTCCCACCTCAGGGCCTTTGCACTGGCTGCTGCTTTTGCTGGCAGGCTCTTCCCTGGATCCTCACATGGCTTAGGTCACTTAGGTGTTGGTTAAAACTTCACTTCCTCAGTGAGGTGTTTCCGAATGATTCAATCCCATGCGGCGTTTCCTCCCCAGCATCCCTTTCACTTCTGAGCATAGCGCTCAGGATGGAAGGATCCTGTGTGTTTCTTTGCTTCTTCTCCCACTGGAATGTAACTCACAGGGACTAGACTCTTGTCTATCTTGTTTATTCTGGAGCCTCAGTGCCTAGAACAGTGCTTGGCACCTGCTGGGTGTTCAGTACGCACATGCGAAGTGCCTTGATGAAAATTGTCAGTTTTCGGTCTTGTCTGCCACCTCAAAGACTTTAGAAAAGTCTCGTTCAATATTTTGGCTGGGGGGGCTATGAGGATGCCTGGGGCGAGGTGGTGGTTCACTGGCAATCTTAGGCACTCCTTGGCTTATAGAAGAAGCACCCCAATCTCTGCTTTTTATCTTCACATGGCGTTCTCCCTGTGTACCTGCCTCTGTGTCCGAATTTCCCCTTGTTATAAGGACACACAGTCATTTTGAATTAGGGCCCACCCTAATGACCTCTTTAATTTGGTCATCTGCAAAGACCTTGTTTCCAAATAAGGTCATATCTACAGGGACTGAGGGTTAAGACTCCAGCATTTTTTTAGGGGACACATTTCAACTCATAACAGCATTCGAGAGAGGTCTGGGGCATTCAGGTTAGAGCAGGAGCCTCTGCTTTGGCCGAATGCTCCGGAGGCCAAGTTTGGTGCCCTGAGGGATGTGCTCAGAGAGAAGGCCTCCAGTGGAGAGAAGAGTCCCAGGACTGCCTTCATGAAGGTTACTGAAGCCAGAGCCACCCGAGGGAAGGGAGGTTTTCGAGATTGACCTCCCGGGTTCCTTGGGCTGGCTTCTCTCTAACTGCCGGCCTGTCTCACCACTGTGCTCCCATCAGGGTGCTTTCCTTTTTGGGAGCAGCTCCAAGACCCAGGTAAATATCCCACTCACCATGCAGGGAACAAATCTCTGCTTTAATTGCCAGGGCAATGAGTGCGCTCCTAGTGTCGAAGACATCACCTGGAAAAGCACTTTGGCTAATTTGAATTTAAGTGGAGTTCTGAAATGACTGAGGGCCCTACCGCGAGGGTCCGGGCCCCTCCACCCTCATTCGGCTGGCAGCCCCCCCCCCCACCAGCTCCTCTGCAAAGCTCCTGGCGTCTCCCCGCCCCCGCGCCCCTCCCCCGCTGAGCAGAGGGGAGCAGGTTGGAGGTGCGGACCAGGAGGCAGCCTCCTAACAGCTGCCGATCTGCCAGGCTACCGGAAACAGAATCACTCAGCAGTGAGCTGAAACTCAGGGGGAGCTCGGAGGAGGCAGAATGTAATTGTCTTGATTGGAATTTTCCTGGGCCACCAGCCAATCCTGCTTCCATCTTGTCGACCTAAACATCAAGAATTTGCCTTTCATCATGCTGCACGAGAGCGCTCTTCTCCTTTTCTGCCTCTTCAAACTCCTTATCTGAGCAAAGCACAAAGAAACCTCTTTTCAAACAAAAACTGTCTTGAAATTCAGAACAAAATGCAGGACTTGTGGTCCCCAGGAGATCCCACCACCTGAGTGAGTTGGGTGGTGTTGCAGGGTGTGAGGGGTGGCGGGGGGAATGGCTGACCTGAACTCTCCACAAAGGGACATCGTGTCAGGTCATGCTCAGCCCCGAGCAATGTGGATTAAGTGGAGGAGAAGAAGGAAAGAGAAATGGGCAGAATTTAGTTCCTTTTTTTTTTTTTCTTCAGATGCATAGTCAGTCACTGGTGATCATAAGATGTGTTCAGTAAACAATCTGACCCGCGATCCCCTGGGTAGGGTGGCGTCTGGCACAGGACCTGGGAGAGAACCTCTCTCTTCAAATCAAACCCTGCCGTCAGGGTCCAGACTTGCTGCCTTTTAGCAGGGAAGCTTTTTCCACTCTCGATTTGTCTTTCTGTGCAGAGGGAGCCCCATTATAAGACTCTGGCC